ATCCTTCCCTTCAAGGCTCAGGGTTCCACGATTATCTTCTGTGTCTGTGTTAATTGGTTTCCCTTTTCTTTGTTGAAGAGGGTCTGTGCAATCCTTCTGCCTAGTCCGCCATCTTGCCGGAACCTCCTTACTTCTGTTTTTGAGTATGCAGAGGCATTTGACTCTGTGGGTAGTAACAGATTATGGATAACATTGTGAAGAATAGGCATTCCAGAACACTTAATTGTGCTCATGAGGAACCTACATAGACCTCCAGGCAGTTGAGTTGTTCATACAGAACAAGGGGATATTGCATGTTTTTAAATCAGGAAAGGTATGTGTCAGGATTGTGTCTTTTCACCATATTTATTCAGTCTGAGAAGCTGAACTATATGAAGAAGAATATGGCATCAAGATTGGAGGAAGACTCATTAGCAACCTGTGATATATAGATGCTTCCTTGCTGAAAGTGAAGAATACTTGAAGCACTTATTGATGAAATCAAAGACTACAGCTTTCAGTATAGATTATACCTCAACATAAAGAAAACAAAAATCCTCACAACTGGACCAGTAAGCAACATCAGGACAAATGGAGAAAAGATTAAAGTTGTTGGGAATTTCATTTTACTTGAATCTACAATCATTGCTCATGAAGCAGCAGTCAAGAAATCAGAGGATGTATTGGGCTGGGCACATCTGCTGCAAAAGATCTCTTTAAAGTGATACAGAGCAAAGATGTCACTTTGAGGACTTATGTGCCTGATCCAAGCCATGGTATTTTCAATAGCCTCATATACATTTGAAAGATGTCTAATGAATAAGGAAGACCAAAAAAAAAAATTGATGCATTTGAGTTGTGGTGTTGGCAAATATTGAAAATACCATGGACTGCCAGAAGAATGAAATCTGTCTTAGAAGAAGTACAGCTGGAATGCTCCTTAGAAGTGGGAATGGCTAGACTTTGCTTCACGTACTTTGGTCATGTTGTCAAAAGGGACCAATCCCTGGAACAGGATACCATCCTTGGTAAAGTTAGAGGGTCAGTGAAGGAGGGGAAGACCCTCAACAAGATGGATTGACACAGAGGCTACAGCGATGAGGTCAAGCATAGGAAAGATTGTGAGGATGATGCTGGGTCAGGCAGCATTTCATTCTGTTACGCATAGGGTTGCTAGGAGTCTGACCTGACTCGATGGCACCTAGCAACAGCAATAACAGGACATGTTCAGTTTTCCCAATGTCTCCATAGTGATTTTTTTTTTTTACATTTGAATTTGATATTTCATTGCCTCCTTATAATCTGATTACTTGTTCTTGCCTGGTTTATAAAGTCCAGACTCCCCAATGTGGCATATGAAGTCTTCATGATTTTGACCTCTGCTAACTTTTTTAGCTTCATAGCTCTTATCTCTCTCCTCCCCTGCTCCTCTTCAAAACCTTTTGCAAAAACTGACAGGAAAACCAGACCTAAGGAGATTCCTCAACTCTAGTCACAATAAACTAATTGTAGTTCCTGTAAACCATGACCTTGCTGTGGTCCTCTGAAAGTATCACCTTTCTTGTTTGTCCCACTGGAAAAGTTCTGCTGATTGTTTAAGGTTCAGCTCAGATATCTCTTCCTGACCTTCCTCAACAACTGATGCTTCTCTCTGTTATTTCATAGCACTCACTGAATTGCTGTTAAGGTCTATCTTATAGGGTGAGTTCCTCAAGGACATAGATATTAAGGTAGACTATAAGTTCTATGAGGGCAGGTACTCTTTTGTTCACCATCATATTGCAGTATTGCTGAATCTGTCATACAGTGTGTTAGGGGCAAAAAAGACCCCAGATTCAAACTTGTTCTATAGAGACCCTTTTATTAAGCTTGAGAGAAGGCGAAGACAATCATCCAGGGTGAGGGAAACCATCAGCATGTGCACAGTACAGAAAGCCAAATGGAGTCAGCTGAGTCATAGCCATAGAGCTAATTATGTATGCTTGAAAACAAAGGCAGCCATCACAAAATCATGTTTGATGGCAGATCAGTTCATCACTGTCGCAGGCAGAACTACAGAAGTGGGGAAAGGACCATGATTGAGATAATCATAATTGAAGATTAAAAAGAGTTGTAGGATTGGTTCTGGGCCTGACCACCTGGCTATTTGTTGGTCTGGGTATGACTCATAACCATGCAGTCCTGAGTCATAGCCACAAGGTGACTACAAGACAATACCAGGACCCCAACCGTTAACTTAAATAACCTGTGGCTGTTTTCTGCAGACCATTAAGGACACACTCAAGCAAGTACTCTAGTTCTTGTGTGTGCATAATCGGTTTTCAAACCCACTCTTCGTGAGGGCAAACTGTCCCTCCTAAGGTTTGTCCTGGGTTTGTCTGTGCATAGCCACAGTGTTGATTTAATGGTCAGAAAGAACTCAAATGCAGTCTGAACTTACGTCAAGATTCAAATAGAGTTAGGGATCCTGTTGTAGACTGCAGCCTTCCACAAACCAAGTGCTTTAGAATTTAAGCTCTAATATAGTAGTTACTTGGTAAATATTTGTTTGAATCTTTTTTTGACTTTATGTCTTTAATATCTGGCATGTGGTGGACTTTTAATGAACTTCATTTTCTTTATTAAATGAATTATAAATGAATAAGTGAATAAACAATGTTGTTGTTGTTATGTGCCGTTGAGTCAGCTCCAGCTCATAGTGACACCATGTACAACAGAATGAAACACTGCCCAGTCCTGGGCCAGCCTCACAATCCTTGCTATTCCTGAGCCCATTGTTGCAGCCACTGTGTCAATCCATCTCCTTGAGGGCCTTCTTCCTTCCCCTTTTTCACTGACCCTCCACTTTGCCAAGCATGATCTCCTTCTCCAGGGAATGGTGCCTTCTGACAATGTTACCAAAGTAGGTGAGGTGAAATCTGGCCTTTCTTGCTTCCAAGGAGTATTCTAGCTGCACTTCTTCCAGGACAGATCTGTTAGTTCTTCTGGCAGTCCATGGTACTTTCACTGTTCTTCTCCAGCACCACAACTCAAAAGCATTAACTCTTGGGTCTTCCTCATTCATTGTCCAGCTCTCACATACATATGAGGCGATCGAAAACACCAAGGCTTGGGTTAGGTGCACCTTAGTCTTCAGAGAGACATCTTTGCTCTTCAGCACTTTAAAGAGGTCTTTTGCAGCAGATTTGCCCAGTGCCAATAATGAACAATAAATCGCATGAATAAGCTTATTTTATGAGGTCAGATTTTGAAAAGGAGTACATGGCGTTGTTAATACTGGGATACAAGAAACAAATTCACATATTTTCATATAATACCTAATTTCATTTATGGCTTAAGAAGGACTTGAATAATTTTTATTATGGTCCTAATTATTGGTACTTTTAAATAAGAATATCTATAAAAATAGCCAAATAACCTTTATTATACTTTAGAATTTTTTTGTTTGTGTTAATTAATAAATTACTTTGTACTCCTTTCTACAGGGTGTTTGTGAACCGAAGTTTAGCCATGGAAAAAATTAAGTGTTTTGGGTTTGATATGGATTATACACTCGCAGGTGAGTAACATTTTCTGATTGCTTAAGAACTGCGGCTTTGGGTATAGCACAGTGGGCCCAAGTAGGCAATTCATAGACACTTGTTGAATCACACTTACTGCCAGAAGCTCTTGTTATCAAGCTGCTTCCATTGAGATTTGCAAATATGTAAAACACCAGCTATCCTTGAAAGTTAGCTCATGAGTTTGTACAGATAGTAGAACAAGGTTCCAAAACTTAAAACAAAGCTACAGTAATCAGTGTGGTACTGGCATAAGAATAGTATTCAGACTAATGGGATAGAATTGAGGTCCCCAAAATAAGCCCTCACATCTGTGGTCATTTGGTTTTTGACAGGGGTGGCAAGTCCATTCAATGGGGGATAGAGTAGTATCTTCAGCAAATAGTGCTGGGAAAACTGGATGGCCACATGCAAAGGAATGAACTTGGACCCTTAACTTACACTATTACAAAAATTAACTCAGAATAGACAAAGACCTAAATTAAACAGCTAAATCTCTTAGAGGAAAACATGTAGGCATATCTACATGACTTTGGATTTGGAAACGTTTCTTAATTATGATACAAAAAGCACAGGCAGCAAATGAAAAAAAAAAAAAAGATAAATTGGACTTTAAAGTTAAAAATGTTAAGTACACTATCAGGAGAGTGAAAAGACTGCCTATAAAGTGGGAGGAAATATTTGTAAATTATATACCTGCTAAGGTTTAGTATCCAGAAGATAAAATAACTCCTACCACTTGACAGCAAACGACAATGCAATTAAAAAATGTACAGAGAACTTGAACATATCTTCAAAGATGATAAACAAATGACCAGTAAAGCACGTAAAAAGTTGCTCAATATCATTAGACATTAGGGAAATGCAAATCAAACTACAGTGAAACACCACTTCTACCCACTAGGAAGGCTTTTATGACAAAAAGTAGGAAATAACAAGTGTTGGTGAGGAAGTGGAGAAATTGCAACACCTGTCTACTGATGGGACTGTAGCAAAATGGTGCAGCTGCTATGGAAAACAGTTTGGCAGTGCCTTAGAAAGTTAAACATAGAATTATCATGTGACTGAGCATTCTACTCTTAGGTATATACCCAAAGGTTTAAAAACCAAAATCAAGCTCATTGCCACTGAGTCAAATTTTGATTCATAACAACCCTATAGGGCAGAGTAGAACTGCCCCATAGGGTTTCCAAGGCTGTAAATCTTTATGGAAGCCAATTGTCGCATTGTTCCCCTGTGGAGCAAGTGGTGGGTTCGAACTGCTAACCTTTCAGTTAGCATCCAAGCACTTAATCACTGTGCCACCAGGGATCCTAAGATTTAAAAACGGACTCAAAACGGATACTTGTACACTAATGTTCATAGCCTCATTATTTATGATATCTAAAAGGTGGTAACAGCCTAAGTGTCCATCAACAAATGAATAGATAAACAAAATGTGGTATATACATAAAATGGAATATTTTTCATCCATAAAAGAAATGGCATTTTGATACAGGCTATAATGTGGATGAACCTTGAAAATGTTATGCTAAGTTAAATAAGCCAAACACAAAGAGACAAATATGATCTACTTATTTGAAAATGTCTGGAATAGGCAAATTCATAAAGACAAAGTAAAGTAGGGTTACCAGGACTGTGGGGAAGGGAGGATGGGTAGTTATTGCTTAACGGTACAGAGTTTGTGTTGGGGGTGATAAAAAAGTTCTGGAAGTAGACGGTGGTGATGGTTGCACATTATTGTGAAAATCCTTAATGTCAGTGAATTGTACACTTAAAAATGGTTAACATGTGAAATTTTTTGTTATGTTTATTTTACCACAATACTTTTTTTTTAAAGTCAGTATTTAGAGTTTAGGTAATACTAAGCCATGTATTGGGAGCTCTGGTAGCATAGTGCCTAAGGCACTTGACTGCTAACCAGAAGGCTGGTGGTTCAAACCTACCAGCCACTCCTCAGAAGGAAGATGGGGCAATCTATTCCCATAGTGATACTGCCTCGGAAACCCAAGGAGGGGTCGCTATGAGTCGGGTCCAACTTGACGGTACATAACAACAACAACAAGGCATGTATTAACTTTTTTTTTTTTTTTTTAATGGATTCTAGGTAAACTATCCTTGGAAGCCCAAGGAGGAGTCTTTATGAGTGGGATCCAACTCAACAGCAGTGCATTGCATTGTGTTAGAAAGGATACACATTAGGGCAAGTTAAGGGAGGGGAAAAACAACTCACTGTATCCAACAGGTCTAGTTAAAGAAAAAAGAAGTTGTTGTTAACAACAACAACAGGTAAACTATAGTTTATATAAAATGTTACCTATCAGGCTTACTTATGTTCCTCTCTTACTTCATATCAGGTCAGCAATGCTCTTTGCACATAATGGAAGTCAGAATCTGTCTGGTCTTTTGCGTTTTGGCTTCCTCTGTGAATGCTCTTCTCTTTTTTTTTTTTTTTTTTTGAGGCTTCTTTTTTCCTTAGCTAGACCTGTTGGATACAGTGAGTTTTTTTTCCCCTCCCTTAAGTTGCCCTAATGTGTATCCTTTCTAACACAATGCAACGCACTGCTGTTGAGTTGGCTCCCACTCATAGCGACGACTCCTTGGGCTTCCAAGGTGGTATTTCTATGGAGGTAGATTGCCCAACTTTCCTTTCGAGGAGTAGCTGGTGGGTTTGAACTGCCAGCCTTCTCATTAGCAGTCAAATGCCTTAGGCACTAGACCCTAGTTTTTGTGTTTGCGGTCCTTATCTGAGAGTAATCTGAGAATGTAAGACAGACAGATGGGTCAGACTGAAACATTCCCAGGATAAAAGAAGCCAAAAAATACTTTGAAAGTCAACCTAAGATTAGATCTTTAGACCTAGAAATAGCAAAGAGTCTTTAATTCAACTGCTCCTTGTCCACAGAATGAGGGTGATCAGTATATACTATTTGTGAATTTTGTTTCTTTGGATTTATTTGCAGAGTATTAAAATGTTGCTGAATGTACTGTTCCTGACAGAGAACCCAAAACCAAACCCACTGCCATTGAGTCAACTCTGACTCATAGTGACCCCTATAAGGTTACCAAGGCTGTAGATTTTTATAGTAGATTGCTGCATCTCTCTCCCATAGAGCAGCTAGTGGATTTGAACCATTGACCTTCTGGATAGCAGCCAAATGTCTTACCCAGTGCACCATCAGAAGTCCTTTAACAGAGGACCAAAACAAGCCCAAACTCACTGCCATCACGTCAGATCTGACACATAGCGACCGCTCCTTGGTTTTCCGAGGCTGTATCACTATTTCCGAGGAGTGGCTTTAACAGAGGACAGGAGAGTAAAAATGAAAAACAAAGGAATAATCTGTATTTTTCAAGCTATTTAGTGCTAATTCATTTTTTCAGGTGTCAAATGGAAAAATCAGACCTATGGTTTCCATTACTCTTGTATCCTGTTACTTGATTTTACACAGCGAAACCTAAAAGCTGGAACTCAGTGGGACTGCTAGTTTTTTGGGTCTTGCAAGTTTCCCACCTTTGACAGGGTATAGTCTTACAACTTTTCTCTCGCTCTCTATTACCCACTGCCATCACGTCGATTCAGACTCATAGTGAACCCCATAGGACAGAGTAGAACTGCTTCATAGGAATTACAAGGCCATAAATCTTTATAGAAACAGACTACCTCACCTTTTTCCCACAGAGCGGCTGTGAGTTTGAATCACCAACCGTTTGGTTAGCAGCCGAATGATTTAACCACTGTACCACCAGAGCTCCTTACACTCTTTATTAGTGAAAAATATTTGTGTTTTCCTTGCCTGACAGGTTTCCACCTTACACAGGTTCTGGCTTTCTCAGGTTTTACAGTAATGTCTATTGCTGAAGTTACAGATGAGGAATTCTTTACTGATTAAATGAGTGACACAGTACTCATATCACCCCTCACTGTTGCAGATCACCATCTGATAAGGCAGCTAATTTCCAAAATATGGTTTCTGTAAGAAAATGTCCAACAGCTGTTAAGTGAGAGTAATCTGGATATAAGAAGCTATTTAAAAAAAAAAAAAAAAAAAGCCAGCAGAATCTTCTTTCTGTCTCGAAAGAGATTTTATTTATACCCAAGAGGCTATGTGGTGTGGAGGGAAAACAAAAACCTCAGAGTTTGATAACCTGGGTTTGGACCCTGGCTCTGCTTTGTACTAACTCTTAGCTACCAGCATGTTATGTAACCTCCTCGAGTCTCAGTTTCTTCATTTAACTTAAAAAGAAAGAAAGAAAGAAAATGCTCAGGGGAGAAGAGGGATCAACTGTTGGTACAAGGATTAAATGTGAAATAATATATATAACTTGATTAGTGCAATGAGAGCAGGTCTCTTCCTCTCACAGGTGATACCAGTTATTAATTCTGTTCACTAAGTTTGGGCTTTAAGCAGAAATCTAACGAATAAGTAGAACATCACTTACACACCTATATACTGTAGAACAGCCTGGACTGGTAGGCAGGTATCAGAGGAATATTTAAACACTTTGGTTTTGAATTGTTTTTTAAGTACTGCAAATGATCATGAACTGGGTCTAAAGTAAAACTTCTCTAGACAGCTTTTAATCACAAGGTATTTTGGCATCAAAGGTATGTTTCCATGGAAATAAAGCATTAGAAGATTATTTCTTAGCAGGATTGAGCTGAAGGAAATAGATTTCAAAGAAAAGATCCTTTTTAAAATTTCCTTTATGACATACATATCACTCTAATACTTCTAATAGATACAAGGGGATTTATTTGCTTTTCTGAAATAAAACTTTTAGTTGGAAATATTTCTCTCGAGTTCCACTAAATACAGTTAGTTCCATGGAGTTAACATGAAAATTATGCATATAGAATTGTTAAATTTTTGGAAGTCTTAACCCCAAGGGAGCAACATATCTTTGAGGAGCATGTAAGGATTTGTTAATACTTGTTTAATGCCATCTATAAATATAGTCACTCTTAGTTTATAAAATACTATTCTAATGTGGTTCA